TTAAGGTCAGTGTTTCTTCTACTGGTAAGGAGTTTTATACATCGAAACAGTCTTCTTTTACATCTTTTTTTGCCAAATCTTGTGGTGTTTCACAAAAACCAAACTATATTTAAGAAGTAGGTTAGTGTTCCTTTTTTAATACAGATTAAAAAAAATAAATCACAAAGCAATTTTTTAAATTATTGTTGTAGTGTCTGGGTTGCTGAATGTGAAAGTTGCCAACGGACAATTCTGTTCCACTGCTCCAAATATATTCTGGGAATTGTAATGTTATATTTCCCAAGCAGCAGGAACCATGGAGATTGTGTAGTATATAGCCTCCAAAGTCTTTTTTTTTGTTGTTTTTTTAAATTATTTTTAAAATGTGATGTACTATTAGAAGGTTAAAGATGAGCGATATGAACAATAACTAAATGTCTTGATATTTCAATTTAATAATTTAAATTATTTACAGTTTAGTGAAATTAAGGAAACTGAAGAGATGCATTCCTCAGCTCCAGGTTTCATCTCAGAAAGAAACACTACTGGATGGAGTAACATTCCGGCAAAAGTTTGAATGCATGAGAAGCTCTGTGGGACTATACTGGAAAATCTCTAATGGATCATATAGACCCAAGGCTTTGGTCAGTTGATTCTTTCCCCTGCCATAGAAAAGACTTCTTAAAGACTTCAGTGTAAAGTTGGTGTGTAAATAAATGTTTGATAACTGTAAAGCACATACATACACAGAGACACAGACACACATGCACACTGGAAAATCACCTTCTACTTTTGTTCCCCTGATGTACTATGATTAGTGCAAGAAATCTCAGCCAAGGGCTCTCAGAAAATTAAAACAAAATAGTTAATAACATCAACATTTAAATTGTCCACTTAAAAAATAAATAATTCAAATGATACTGAATGTGTCTACAGTGTGTTCATTAATTAGTGTTATGACAGTTGCTTAATCAGGTAATATTTGGGGTGTTTTCTTTCCTTTATGACAGGCTGCTGAGGTTTCTTTTATTTGCTCCAGATCTCCTTCCTCGATTTATTCATTAACATTCAGCCATTTCAATATTAAGCAATTACACTTGAGCAACTGAGTGAGATTTAAGGGATGTGTTCCCATTAATCCCATAACAGCCTTACAAATTCTGGTTGCATGTTATTGTTATATTTTTGGGGGAGACTGTTAGTTATAGACCAAAATCACTTGTTAGAGAATGGTGGATAATTTGACTCAGGCCCTTTCATTCCCTTAATCATTTCTGACACCAGCTGAAAATATTTGATAGTGCTTGGATAGCTTTATTGCTTTGATTGCTTCTTGGCATTGCTACAAAATGCATTTAAAAAGTCCTAATCTTTCTTATCTTACATTTAAGAATCCTCTTTTGACCTGTTTGAGAATATCAAAATGCAAGCTAGGATTTTTCTAAGTGACCTGGAGACTTCAGCTAATGATGAGCTGGGACTGCCAAGAGAACTACAACACTCTTGAAGGCAGTGATTCAAGCAATAATAATTTTCAACCTTGCTAGAGAATGCAAAATAAGAAAAATATCCCCTGAGCCTCAAGTCATAGGTTAAGACTCTTCAGTCCAGACATAATAATGGGGAAAAGATCTGTCTAATTTTGAACATGGTATTTTTTCCTTGTACTGAAGACACAGGGGCCCTTTAAGTTATCATTCCCTGATAACTGTTTCAGCTGAAGAGGCAAATGAGCCAATGAGGCTTTGCCTTCACAGTATAAAAGGTCTGTCATGGCACAGAGGGAGGATTTAGGTCTTACTTGTAGTGAGGAGGTGCTGCTGCCTGCTTGTGGCGTTTGCAGTCAGGCTGCTTGACTTGGCGAGTGAACTAAAACCAATGTGGTAATTGCTGGTATGGGATCCTCTGCACTTTGTGTACTGGCAAATTGCTCTCATTTCCTTGGGAAAATGTACAGCATTTCTAGTCTGATTTGCTTTCTCTAGTGTGATACCCTGTTGTTAGCTGGATGAACTGTGGAAAAGGTAGGAAGTTAGTCAGGGCTTCCTTTTCCAAGGAAGGGTCTATTAGATGTTATGCCTCCTTCACCTCCAGCTTTCATGGGACTGTGGCCATTAAAGAAGGGAGAAGAAAACACCAGCATTCATTACAGCACAGCTTCAAGATAGGAAAGCTGGATAAAACCAAAAGTGTAGTCAAGTTATGAGGAGGGTAAGAGACATTGTATAGTAAAAACAAATCTTTATTCAACTAAGAAGGCCCTTTCAACATAAATATTAGAGACAACCTACAGTGAAGTGGAGAACCCAGATATTTGAACCAAGGCCTAAGGGGATTTCTAAAGAAAAGCAGCCAGTTCCATTTCTCACTGAGTGAAGGCTGCCTTGGGAAGGAGAAAATAAAGTAAAACACCACCTGTATTCCTACTTGACTTGAGAAAAGCATAGATATGGGGAGGAACAAAGAACTAAATAACTGAGTTTAAATAATCAATTCATATAATTGTGTTCTCTGAATAGCAATTTCTTGCTATTAACTCTCTAATAATTTAATTCCTATGATGTTTTTGATCTTAATATTCTGAGTAATTCATGGTTACTGTTTTCTAGCTGAAGAATTCAAGATGTTAAAATAAATCCTGGTTTTATACAGAAAATTCTGTATAAAAATTGTGATTGTATAAGAAAACTGAGGCATAGGAAAGTTAAAACTAAAAAGTCTGGGGTGAAGACAGGTGCTGAAATTAAATCCCTTGACTCTTAGTCATCCACCTGGATAAATCATGCAATTAAATTTGCATCTATTTTCTCAGTTCTCAGGTTTATCAGTGATGCAGTGCACTGCCACCTGAAAGAGCTGCATTAATACAGCTGGGATTTCACTTCACCTGGGCAACAATGACATTCACAGAAGAGCTGTCCCATCTGCTGCAGTAAGAATGCCATCTGTCCTTTCAGCACTTGTACTCCATGCAGCAAAACAAGTTTTGAAGGGAAAAAGGTGTCCTTAAGCAGTCCTTATCCACACCTCCAGGTGGTTATCATTTTTCAAGGGTGGAATAGTGGAGACACTGAGAGTCAGTAATGTAAGAGAAATATTAAATCTTGGGCTCTTCCCAAATAGAGGTTCTGGCAAGCTTAAAAATCCATTGCCCCATCCAATCCACCTCCATCTTTGTCTAACAGGATTTAGTACCCCAAACCAACAGGACAGATAATAGGTAAGAATTATTAAACTTTTCCATATCATAATGAAAGATGCTTTTTCCTAGAATTATTTTTGCAGTTGTTATTGCCCAGGTCACTCATCGTTGCATAACACCCTTTCACTAATGTTGTCAAGTACTGTGTGTGTCAACTGATTGTTTATACCAAGAGTGAAAGTTTTGCTATTAATTTTTTCAATGTTCTGAATGTTCTCTTCCTCTTTTACTTCTTCCTCTTTTATCCTCTACTAAATACATAGCCTATCTATCCTATTTTTGCCTTTCTTTTGCCCATTAATTCTTTCCACTAAGTTG